AGTGATTTTACACAAATTCACATGTTTAGCCCATTGTTTGCATGGACTTTGTGAAAAGATTCTCAACAATTCACCATTTTTTTGAGTGATCAATGTAGCAAAATTCCTAAGCTTGACAATAACTATAGTTTACATAGAACTTGGTAGCAATAACTAAATAGAACTTGATCAGTGTTAATGTAAATTTACATAAATAAATTATAATTTATAACAATATAATAAGGGTTCATTTTTAATGATGTAACTATTATACGTATATAAAAATTACATGAATAACAGACAAACCGTATTGTTTGATGAAAACACATGACAATAATGATTGTTTGTCTCCAACTCTTTGGTTATATAAGCAAAATGATTGAGATCTTCGCTGTCCTGACAAATACACTGTATGTTACGTATGGAGTGCTCGCATACCATCACCTAAAACAGGGCAACCAATAGATACATCATAGATTAAACACATATTATATTACACAAATAGTGTTGAAACATACCTGTGTTTCAGCATCAATAAACTGAACGCCTTTATAGCTGATAGACAGCATTATTTGCGGTATTTTCCCAATGTTTTTAGTGCTAAGTTTGAGCTTTTGTATGGAGGCTCGAGTCGAGTCAATTCCCCGGAGCTCACGGACAAGTGTGGAGCCCAAGTAGTTGGCCGTGTATTTGCACGAACTGTCTATCAGTTCCCGGTTCTGGTGTTTCCATTGGATAGCGGCGCCCGACTCGGCCCCTGTTGTGGCCCCGGAATCTGCTTTCGGCCGTTTGTCCGATGACTCAATTGGTGCGGACGTTAAGGTAGAACACGTGTCCAGGCCTTCATCGACGGACAGTTGGCTTATATTGAGATTCTATGTGTGTTTATTGATAAAACATAAAATTAATTAATAAGTCACCAAGATAAGTTATTAATTTTTTAATGAGCTATACCAATTTGTCAAAATCGAGATCATTTAGGCCAAGATCGTCCATCAGCCTGAGTCGTTCGCCCAGTGAGGCTAATATGCGTTTCCTATGACCAAGTTTGCCGATCTCTAGCACCGTGTTTAACTCAACCTCCCACAAGTCCCTGACCCTGGTCATTTCGGTATAACCATTGCTGGCAAACGAGTGCCTGTACTCAGACAGTCGCAAACTGTCCAGCCATTGGTCTACTGTTAGATCATCGTGATTTTTGCTCAACGGTTTAACCCTGGGCAAATGTTTAGCCACGCCAAGTATACGATCTCGGTGCGACGCGTTTGTCACACCTATCTCTAGTAGATCCGTGTCGTCCATAGCGTTACAGCCCATGTATAGCACGTTATCAAAGCCGTTGACTATCAGGAGTTGGCCGTACTCTGAGAGGCCGATGCGGGCCAACCAGTCCTCCACCGACTGCTCCTCGAAGTCCG